ATGTCAAAATTAAGGTTTGCCAAGGCAAATCCTTTCGCCAAAGATTACACATAATTAACAAGGGTCACCATAACATTTTGCCTCGTCTAAATTGATACTTCATCGATAAGTCTTACCAAAATTGGTTGCCTCGATAAAAATTATACTTCATCAACAAGGTTTCCTAAAATAGCTCATCTTGCCACAATGTACACATCATCATCAGTGTTTACCTCGATAGGTAAGTGCTCGCCTCACCACACCTACACGTCATTACCAAAGGTTCATTGTCATATATTCGACATGAAAACCCATTCGAAAAAAGGCTTGAAGGTAGCTAACAATTGTTATGCCAATTGTTTAGTCAACAAAGTTATCTTTCACATTTGCCAACTCAGTACACTCTCGCCTACCACGTTACTCGACTTAGAAAGACTTACACGTCATACATGATTGCCTCCCAAAGTTGCTTAATTACATGGACCCCCTCTCCCATAAAGATAGCTATTTTAATTCTCCATTATATGCCATCAACGGTCCACCTTACAATAATCTAACTTGCTTGGGAACATTAATTGTTAGCAACTCGCAACCCAAGTGAACTTTTCTCAAACTCTATAATAAAGAAAGCTCACCCAACTACCTCCACGAATGTCTTATTAACAGGTCACCTCATGATAATCCAACTTGTTTAGGATCATTAAATGTTGTCAACTTTCAACCTACATAGACCTTCCTCAAGCACCATATAAACTTTTTATCAACTATCAAATGCTCACATCCCATCATTGTCTGTCTTATATATAAGATAAAATGGGTTCCAAGTACACTATTTTGAACTTTTTTCTTAAGCTTTCTCTATTATTCTCTGCAACCCATTTTCTTCTTTTTCAACCTAATTTCTTACTCTTGGTTGACTTAAACATTAAAGCATGGCCTGAAAACCAAATTTCGGTGCTCTTTGACTGTCTTTCCTTACTACAGGTCTAGTTCTCTTCCAATTCATCTTCCAGCTCACCATTCTATTCATCAATACCTAAAATATCCTTGACTTCATTAATTATTAAGTGTTTCATTTATCAAAACAAGTTTTTGAGTACATTTCTATGTAAATTTTAAAGAGCTTTTTTATGTATTCAATATTAAAAATGTAATCAATTTGAATAAATTAGTACATAGTCAAACTTAAGCTCGCTCAATTAAAAAGGTCAAAGCTTGAAACTCAATATAATAAATTAATCGAGCTTAAGTTTTCATTATTCAAATCCAAACAACTTTGAGCAACTTAACTCATTTGCATCTCATATTCAATACATTTTTTGTATTTTGTAGGAATACTCCTTTTTATATAATTAATTTGACCTTGTCAATTTACCATTTGGACGTTGATTTTACATGGCTTGTTAGCTTTATATATGTGTGTATGTGTGTGTATGTGTGTGTATGTGTGTGTATGTGTGTGTACGAATGATCAATGAACTTAAGTATAAAATTTTTAGTTTTACATTTTTTTAACTATTGATTTTAATAGATTTAAGAGATGAGATTAAACAATTTTTTTTAACTTATTTCTTTTATCCCTTGGAACTATTGAAATCAATAATTAAGAAATATGTAAAACTAAAAAATTTATACTAATATAAGTTGATCTTACTCCACACACACACACATACACATATATATATATAAATATGAAAATTAAAATAAAAATCTAAATTTCTTTGTGGTGGGAAAAAATATTTAAGAATCAAACATTTTGATTTGCATTAAATATTTTGTTTCATAAAATTTATTAAACATTTTTAATATATTTATTTTGTTTCATAAAACTATACTTCTCTATATAATTATCTTTATGGTGGATATTATTTGAAATGCATTAAATACAATAATAGAAGAAAAATTATGCAAATAAACTTCAATTTAATTTATATTTTTTTCAAAACTATGAATAATTAAATAGTTATAAATCATTATAGTGGCGGATTTAAAATTTTTTTTTGGGAGTGTTCACTTATTGCTGTGGGTGTTTGCTGGGTGCAAAGTGTTAGTTGGCTATGTATTTTGATTGGGTATCGGATGGTGACAGTGAGTGGAGTCATTAAAAAATTATAAAAAATATTTTCATAAAAAATTTTAAGGGTATCCTGAAAAAATTTTCTTTTAAATTTTTTTATTTTCCAATCTTTAGAATGTCAGTGATCACTTTACCAAAACATTTGCATCTGCCACTGAAACCTTATTTATTTTCTTAACATAATTCTTAAAAAGAAAAACTTTAATTAATGTATATTGAGACCCTCATTTTTAATCTTGAGTCCTTTTTTAATAGTAGCAGTGAGATTGAAATCATAAACGGATAAATTGTTTGATAAAAGAGAGTGGGGACGTGTGATAAGCTCACTGAGAGCATTTCCTTCGTAATCAAGTTCTTCATTCATCCAATATTGAAGATTTGTAATCTACAAATATTTTTTTCAGAGTATCATTATAAATCTTTCAAAGATAAGATAGTGCAAACCATCTTATCAACATGGTTTGCAATTCATTCGTTTGATAATTGGAAAAGAGTGAGAACCCTCACTCAATTGAGATTTACTATCCACTTTATTACTTTGAGACTTGAGTAAGGTCATAGGGTCTTTGGGATCCTATTCAATGTATAATTAACCATGTGGAACAAAGTTATTTATCTTTTTTTCAAAAACAAAAATTATCGAACTTGATTAGAGCATTTGTCTCAATAATAAATACATGTATCTATCTTATAGAGTAGGTTTGAATTCATCTTCTCTCAAAATAAAAAAAGAAAAAAATTCTATGCCTTGAATAGAATTTGAGAATGTTAAAAAGAAAAAAAAAAACATAAAGATTTAAGTAAAAACCCAACTCATTTAAAAAATGACAAATATGAGAAATTTTTTTCCTCTAGTAGTACAAGTTTTCGTGAGACTTGTCATAGAGAAAGTAGGAGTAGTAGAGGTCATGATGGAAAAGATGAAGATTAGAAAGGGAGTCGCTCTACTTTTTGATGGGGTTTGCTTTGTCTCTTCCTCTTTTCCATTCCACTGGACATAATAATAGTCATCAAAGTTATACTACTACTGCTACTACTACTTCACTTCTACTATCTCCCACAAAAGCTGTCCTACTCCATGCCATGGGCCCTTTTAATTACTTGTATGTGGAAACCTATAAACTAAACAAAACAAAACAAATCTCTCTCTCTTTTGCTCATGTGCCAGCCAGCCAGCCAGCCCCTCTCGTGCCTAGATTCCCCATTACACACACATTTTCAGTAAAATAATGGCAAAGCCACTGCAAAGTCACGAGCCTCCCAAGATATTTGTGGACTGATGATATTATTATCATTCAAGTAAAACTCTCTAACACCCAAATCGTATTATTATTATTATTCTTCTTCTTCTCACTAACACCTCATCATTCACGTGATTATGCCTGCATTTTCATTTATTTTTCTTTTCTTTCCGAACTTATAGAGGAAAAAAAATATCCGATAATCTTAGATTTGTATACATGAAAAGGGCATCTGATTTTGTAGGTATCTCTGATTTTGATTTGTTGATTTTTTTTTTTTTTGCAGGTTCTGCTTGATCTGCCCCATAATCCTGGTCATGGATTAGATCTTGAATCTGGATTGGATATAATTAATGGTTATACAAAATTTGATTTGGTGTGTTATATTTTTAAATTAGCATTACGTTTTTTTTAATAAATATTATAAGATTCATAGTACAAATTATTTAAAGGGCGGACCATGTCATAGATCTCGTCATGAAACAAGTAGTAGAATTTTTGGATTAGGTTATGTTTTTCAATTTTTTTTCTTTGAAAAAAAAAAAGAAAAAGAAAGCACAACAACTGGTACGAATTTAGATTAGGATCCATCCCAATAGTTTTAAAGTGGGATTTTGGACATTAATTAGTAAACCGCAAATTAACTTTCGGAAACCAATATTGGATATTTTATTAATAAAGTTAAAATTTATAAAAAGTTTTCAGAAATATTTAAAGAATGGTCTAAGAATATCTGTAAAACGAGAGCAACCGCATCGCTTTACGGTCTATTTTGATTCCACTGACCCCCGTTGGGGTTTTGATTATTATAAAAAATAATATCAAACGAATCGAACAGATTCAAACGAAGTAGTCTGATTGTGCGGTTGATCACGGTAAGTTACTGGCCAATTTTGCTGCAGTTGCTTCGTCGCAATGGACTGTTAACTTTTTTTTTTCTTTTTTTATCCTTAAATTTTGGTTATAAAAATAAAAATATCCTTACAAATTATAAAATAATAAATAAATAAATAAAAATATATTAGTATATAATAAGTGAATAAATAAATTTTAATTAATTATTATCAAAATTATTATTTGATATAAAATAATTTAACAATTTTTAAATAATTTATTAATTTTATAAATTTTAAATAATTAAAAATTTTTATTAGAGAAACATTTTAATTTAATATCTCTAATGTTAATTTCTTTTTTTACACTAATTTATTTATTTTTCACCATTTCATTTGTATTCAAACATATATTTTTTTAATAATTTTAATTTTACTATTACAATAATTAATCTCTTCCTATTATTATTTTTTATCTCACCAAAATTAATTTCATTATGTATCCAAATAGTCCTTTAGTTAAAGCAATTTTTCGTAAACGGGACTATGGCTGTGTTTTCACTTTTCACCAAGGGGAGATTATGAATAATTTTTGACAATCTTTTCCAGTGGAGTTTTTAGTTCAAGACTCGAGTATTTAAATTTAACTGGGATTTCATCTCCTAATCCTATTTGACTCATTCAAGACCCGCAAAGACAAAAGCTGAGCGAGAATCCTCAAATGCATATTGGCCAAATATGGGGGCAACCAGCAGTATGAATTATGGATTTGGCAAAATATTTATCCAAGTATTCTCGTTTGCTATGAAAACTCCAAGAGAAAATTAAAGGTAATTGCATAAGGCCATATAAAGAGATGAAAAGCAGCATTTTTTCACACTAAAAAAATTGCAGACAAAGCCACTCACTGAACAACTTTTTTCCATTTCGTTCAAATTAAAAAACAGTTATCCCCGTTCCCCCCACCTCTCCTCCACCATAAACAAATGCTAAAAACACCCATCTAGAATTCCATTTTCTCTCTGCGCAAACATCATGGCCTAGTTGTTTCTTGGATCCGGAGATTCTGGGTCTTGCTTATTAGTTTATACATGTCTTTAAAATACACATAGCCCACAAGACATGATTTGGTTTCTCTCACTGTCCCTCCCTCGGCTCAAACCCTCCTTTCTGTTCCTCTCATTGAAGTTTGTAGCATAGCTGTAATGCCTGTAAGTCCATGGACCCTCTTCTCCTCCTTATTCCTCTCTTTGTCAATTCTAATTCCCTTCCTTTACACTGCTTTGGCCGTTAACCAACAAGGTGAAGCTCTTCTTTCCTGGAAAGGAAGCTTCAATGGATCACCGGAGGCCTTAAGCAATTGGGATGACGGGGATGAAACTCCATGCAAGTGGTTCGGTATCGTCTGCAACTTTAATAATGAGGTTGTGGAACTGGAATTGAGGTATGTTGATTTGTTTGGAATAGTTCCAGCTAATTTCACCTCTTTGTTAAATTTGAAGAAGCTTGTTCTCTCTGGAACAAACCTCACTGGTTCAATCCCAAAAGAGATAAGCATTCTCAACCAATTGAGCCACTTAGATTTGAGTGAAAATGTCTTAACTGGTGAAATCCCAAGTGAGCTCTGCAGCTTGCATAGGCTTGAACAACTCTATCTTAACTCAAACCAACTCAAGGGCTCGATGCCAATCCAAATTGGGAACCTCACAAGTTTGAAATGGCTAATCCTATATGACAATCAATTAAGCGGGGAAATTCCCAGCACCATAGGCAACTTAAAGAATCTTGAAGTGATTAGAGCTGGTGGCAACAAGAACCTTGAAGGCCCTCTCCCACAAGCAATAGGCAACTGCACCAATTTGGTAATGTTAGGCCTTGCTGAAACAAGCATCTCAGGTTTCCTCCCTCCAACTCTAGGCCTCCTAAAGAAGCTTCAAACCATCGCAATCTACACAGCTTATCTATCCGGTCAAATCCCCGCCGAACTAGGGGACTGCACTGAGCTTCAAAACATTTACTTATATGAAAACTCCATGGGTGGATCAATACCGAGAAGCCTTGGCAATCTGAGAAATCTTCAAAGCCTGTTGCTGTGGCAAAACAACTTGGTAGGAATCATTCCTCCTGAGCTTGGAAACTGCAACGGACTATTAGTCATCGATGCTTCCATGAATTCATTATCCGGAAGTATTCCTCAATCATTTGGGAACCTGACATCACTCCAGGAACTTCAGCTGAGCGTCAACCAAATCTCGGGAGAAATTCCTTCCACACTGGGAAACTGTCGTCAGATGACTCATATCGAACTTGACAACAATCAGATCACTGGAACAATACCTGGGGAATTGGGGAACTTAACAAACTTAACGCTTCTGTTTCTGTGGCAGAATAAACTGGAAGGCAACATTCCGGCGTCCATTTCCAACTGCCAGAATCTGGAAGCCGTTGATTTATCACAAAACAGCCTAACGGGTCCAATCCCCAATGGCATCTTCCAGCTTAAGAAACTCAACAAACTGTTGCTTCTCTCCAACAACCTCTCGGGGGAAATCCCGCCGGAGATCGGAAACTGCTCAGCCTTGATTCGGTTTCGCGCCGGCAATAACGAGATAACCGGATCCATTCCTATCCAGATTGGGAGCTTAGAGAACTTGAACTTCTTGGATCTCGGGTCGAACCGATTAACCGGATTTATACCCGAAGAAATATCCGGTTGTCGGAATCTGACTTTTCTGGATCTGCATTCCAACTCTATCGGCGGTACCTTGCCCCTCAGCTTAAGCACGCTTGTTTCACTTCAGTTCGTTGATTTCTCCGATAACTTAATCCAAGGAACGCTGAGTTCGAGTCTCGGTTCACTGAGTTCACTCACCAAACTGGTTCTTGGAAATAACCGATTCTCTGGTTCAATCCCGCCTCAACTGGGGTCCTGTTCGAAGCTACAGTTACTAGACTTGAGTTCAAATCAGCTGATGGGGAATATTCCGGGAAGTTTGGGGAAGATTCCGGCGCTTGAAATTGCTCTCAATCTGAGCTGGAACCAGCTCACCGGCGAGATACCGGGGGAGTTCACGGCATTGGATAAGCTTGGTATTCTGGATATATCTCATAATCAACTTGTTGGAGATCTTCAATATCTTGCCGGGTTGCAAAATCTCGTGCTTCTCAACGTGTCGCACAACAACCTCACAGGGCGAGTGCCAGACACGCCCTTCTTTTCGAAGCTCCCGCTCAGCGTGCTTACAGGGAACCCCTCGCTTTGCTTCTCCGGCAACCAGTGTTTTGCTGCCGATTACGACGGGAAAGGCGGTGGCTCCTCTTCTAAACGCACGGCAGCTCGCGTGGCGATGGTGGTGTTGCTCTGTACCGCTTGCTCTCTCCTCCTAGCGGCGCTCTACATCATCATCAGCTCCAAAAAGCGAAGCCGTGGTCCTCACCATGATTGTGACATTGACAGAGACGCTGACCTGGAAATGGGCCCACCTTGGGAGATGACTTTATACCAGAAACTCGACTTGTCAATCGCTGACGTGGCAAAATCCCTGACAGCTGGCAACGTAATCGGCTGCGGCCGAACTGGCGTTGTTTACAAAGTCACCGTACCGTCGGGAGTAACCATCGCCGTTAAAAGATTCCGCACATTGGAAAAAACATCGGCCTCCTCGTTTTCGTCCGAAATCGCAACGTTGGCGAGAGTCCGACACCGTAACATCGTACGATTACTAGGTTGGGGAGCCAACAGAAAAACAAAACTGTTATTTTACGATTACATGGCCAACGGTACTCTGGGCGCGTTGTTGCACGAAGGTTGCGGGAGAGAAGTGTTAGATTGGGACATGAGATTCAAGATTGCATTAGGCCTGGCGGAAGGGTTAGCTTATTTGCACCACGATTGCGTGCCAGCGATCTTACACCGTGATGTGAAGGCTCATAATATTCTGCTAGGGGACCGTTACGAGCCCCGCTTGGCGGATTTTGGGCTGGCTAGATTGGTAGAGGATGAAAATGGTGGCTCGTTTTCTGCCAACCCTGAGTTTGCTGGGTCCTATGGTTACATGGCACCAGGTAAGCTTAATGGGTACTGTTTTAGTGAAAAATATGTTTATGTTTCTTCCGTCTCGCTTAGATTAGATTAAATAAAATTAGGCTTTAGTGATAATCATGGTTAAGATGCTAGTAATTGGGACTTAGGAGAATATAGGATTATCCTGGATGATTGTTGATTATGATAGTGGGACTTGGTGTGCGGGGTGAGACAAATATGGGATTATGTCCGGATTCGAAGGGTTGATGGAGACTTAAAGCTATGATTTATTTTAATTTTCTTTTCTTGCTAATAAAATTAGAAAATTATTCGAGTTTATATTTGATATATTAATAATGTATAAATTTTATATATTATCAATAAATTATATTATATGAGATATTATCGTATAATTTATTAATTTTATATAAAATTTATATATTAATAATATATTAAATATAATATATCATTATATAATTTATTAATCTTGTATAAAACTTTTATATTACGAGTGCATCAAGTGCATCAAATATAATATCTGTTTGATTACTGCTAATGCTTTATTTTGGTTATTTTATAGAACATGTACTGGTAGTGGAGATAAATCAATCGACTTCAAAACTTGCTTCTTGCTTTTGTTCGTTTCGGTGTTATGACAATTGTTGCAACTGTTAAAGGTGCACGCTCCTTTGATTGGAAGTTCACCCTACAGTTCATATAAATAGGATTTTGAACCCCCTCCCCCAACCAAAAATTAAAAAAAAAAAAAGGCAAAAGTTTTATATTCAGCTTTCATGGCTTCTGTTTGAAAAAGTTAAAAAATGACCAGCCAACCAACGATTGCACTGTTCTGTCTGAGCGGCCCCTGTTAATTTGCTTTTGCATGATGCTATTGCATTACATGATCCCTTTTGCCTGTTTTATTTGGTGTGCCATTCCGCATAGAATACCAGATTGAGAAATAACTGGAAATTTTTGCTTATGAAATGGAGTAATTTCTTGTTTTTTAAATGATTTCTGCAGAGTATGCTTGCATGTTAAAGATCACAGAAAAGAGCGATGTGTATAGCTATGGAGTAGTCTTGCTGGAGATCATAACGGGAAAAAAACCCGTGGACCCATCATTCCCTGACGGCCACCACGTAATCCAATGGGTCCGAGATCATCTGAAAAACAAGAAGGACCCAGTAGAAATCCTTGATCCTAAACTCCAAGGTCATCCAGACACTCAGATACAGGAAATGCTTCAAGCTCTAGGAATCTCATTGCTTTGCACTAGTAATCGCCAAGAAGATCGGCCTATCATGAAAGATGTGGCGGCATTATTAAAAGAAATTCGACAGGAGCCCGTGCAAGGGAGCGAGGCCCACAAGCCGACTAGCAACTCCTCAAAAAAGACAGAAACTACTCCTTCATATTCGTCATCATCAGTGACCCCAGCTCAATTGCTACTCCTCCAGGGGTCCTCTCAAAGCTCACTTGCTTACTCTTCTTCCTCTGCAAATTATTTCCCAAGAAGCCAATAATAGTAAGCCTGTCTTTCGTAAAATTATTATTCCATGTATAAAGGTAGCAGTAGCAGTTAATTAATGGGGTTCTAGAATTAGGTTTTGATGAGAAGGTGGCTCCTGATGAGTGTATAGCAACTTGATGACTTTCCTTGCCGAATGAAGGCATTATTTCTCATGGTTGGCCTTTTTTTATAGTTCCTAAATGAAGGGCATATATATTTTTCATTAAAATGGATGGAAGACTAACAGATGCAAAAGAAGAAGCTAGATAAGGATGTTAAAATATGATATCATTAAATGACATGAAAATCATAGAAAAATAAGAATATAACACAAATTAAAATTTTAAAAAAATTATATATAATATTTAAAAAATATTTCATATTTTTAATTTGATATAAATTAAAACATAATTGTTATATAAAATATGATTTAAATACATAAATTATTAAATTTTTACGTTATAAAAACACAAATTATAAAGTAGGGAACATGAATATGTTGCTTTTATGTAAAGTCATTTTCCAATAATTTCTGTGGAAACCAACATCTCAAGGATGTGTGTTGCGTGGTGTGACGTCTGTAGTTTGTTAAAGGGCGTTTTCGAGGATGATTTTTCACTGCTTGGAGAAATAAAAGAGAGAGAGAGAGAGAGAGAGAGAGAGAGAGAGGGGAGCAGAGGGATGTGTGGTTGTGAGGAAATGTCGGCAATGATTATCCGTGTGAACCCGCCCCCAGCTTCCACTCTTTCTGTTTCCATGTTATTGTTTTGAAGGAAAAATTAGAATAGGCGTTCTTGGATTCAATGCAACCATCCTGGTCCCCACCATGTGAGGTATATAGATGCAACGTGCTGCTATTGCAAGAATCTATCAACATTTAATTGCTAATGGAAATATTGGATGTGAGATCATATGAAAAAACAAAGCTTCTAGCTACAACTAGAAGCAAACCAGAAATGTCTACAAATCTGCATGCACTTTCCATCAGCACATCTGGCTCGCTGGCTGTCTTCCTCAAATAACTTATTCAGGTTTTGAGACTGATCATTGAAAGATTGCTTCCAAGCAACCTTGTGCATTTGTGATCTTGTTAATCTTAATTAATTGGTTTACTTAGAGGGCTAGCAGCAGTTGGCAAACTAATTTCCACATCACAGCGTCATCAGCTTCCATTTTTTACTTGGACAATCAGATGCAAAGGAAAGCTTCTGGCTTAACTAATACTATATTGTCAAAATACTTCCTGGAAAAATAATTTCCACCTGTGCAAATCAGACTTTTCACAGCCTATTGGAGCCCTCATTGGACAGTTATCATCTGGTTAATTGTAATGCAATGATTATAGACGAATCGTTCTCATCATCTGGTGCGTTGCCCCACCCTGATTCCTGAAAATATAGAAGAGAAGACCTTCAATTCTACTAGAAATAAACCATGTATTCTGTTGTTCTATATAAAAAATATCCGCTTTATATTGTTGAGGACATGATAGGTAGAATGCTGTATTTTGTTTGTAAGGAGATCTAAGGTAAACTAAAAGGTCCACCACATGCGCGCAGCGGGGAGGTGATCCAACTGATGGCTGATCATCAAGTAGATCAGTAGAAAGAAATGGACGCAGAAAGGACCACTAATGAGGGTTCATTTTCACCACAGCTGTATCGTTATGAATATTGGTTCACCCAATTTATAGTATTGGCATCAGAAGATGAAACTGAGGTTTTGTGTGCTCTAAGTTTTTCTCACCGTGGAAGCGATAGTAACCTTTTTGGCCATTTCTGTTTATACCATAATATGTTTGGTTCAAATAAAAAAAAAAAAAGATGTGCCTTTTTCTTATCTCCCGATTCCTTGTAATGTTAACATCTAACTTTCCAGGTGAAGGTTCTAAGGCCAAAACAACTCTGTTTTTTTGAACCCAATTCACGGCAAAAAGTCGTGACGGATGGATTGATAATTGATTCTTGTAAAAATGTCGGTAGGGGGTCTCAATTTGAATTGCTCTAAGTAGTCTCTAACCATTCTTAAATGAGACTACAAAATCTTTTCTATGTTTGTCATTCAGAGATGCTTAATTGAACCCCAATGCAAGGCAATGGGGGCAATGGGCTCAAACTGTGCCAATATCCAAAGACATCATAGCGAGCTTCAACAAATTCAAGGAAACCAAACCACAATACCGAGTGTACACCAGACAAGACCGACTAAAGGTTCATTTAAATGGAGGAAATTTTGAAGCTGCAAGGGTTGTCCCACGAGCCATTGAGAGGGCAAAAAAATTCCAATCAATCGTGGGAAAAACCAGGAAAGTACCATTCCCTTCTTTTGTTGGGGTCCAATGGAAACCCTCCCCCCCCCCCCCCCCCCCCAACAAGGTGGGCACAAACTAAATACTGATGTTTCCTCATTTGGAAACCCAGAAAAGGCAGGAGCTAGAACAGTCATACAAGAAAATGGCTAGCAGGATCGTCTCGACATATAACAAGGGCCAGTAGTGCGGAGGCATAATTATGGGTACTGAGAGATGGTCTTAAGCTTGCCATTGATGCAAGAGATAAAAAACTTGAAGTGGAACTGGATGCCATGGTGGTGATAAATCTTATAAATCATACTGACTATACCACCAGTTCCTTAACACCTTAGTTTGTGATTGCAGGACGATGTTGACGAGTTTCCAACAGACAGCAGTGAGACATATTTTCCGTGAAGAAAATAAGAGTGTTGATGCCCTTGCTAGAGGGGGAAATGATGCTACACGGCAGAACTCTGCTAATGTTCCTAGCCCTATCCTTTTTGAATCTTTCTTGTTCGCCGTATTTGTATCATCCCCTTTTATTAGTTGAGACTAAAGGGGTAATGATGTACCGTACTATTTTATAATTTATGCATGCATCCTTTCATGACCAAAAAAAAAAAAAGATTAGTTTTAATGAATTTAAAAATAGTGGTGAAGATGAGGTTAAAATCAATGAAAAGATTAGTATTTTGTCCTAAAAACAGTGATAACAATGAAAGAAAATTGTAAGGATGAGAGAAAATGATTATTAAAGATATTAAAAAAATTATATATAATAAAAATTTTATACACTGGTCTACTGGCAAATGGAGACCCAGATGGTTTGGTCATCCGTGCAACATAAATGCAGCTTAAGCCTTTTCTCACTAAAGTACTCAATTAGAGACCATAACATTCTTAAATGACAATAAACCTGCAAATAATGAGAAACTAAATTCAAAGCCTTCTTTCAATGAATATTGGATTACATGGATTATATTGTTGTATGTTGATATATTTTCCGGTCTGAAGGTTGAAGGCTTGCCAGAAGCTGGATGAGAGGGTCGACCTGGAAGGCTTGATGACATGTTGAGCAGAAGGACTTGGAACCCATATGAGGCCTTGTATTCTAAAATTATCCCAGCGTTTAAGTTGAAGAGCAAGATAGAGTTGGTTTTGGATATTTATAATGTCGAAATATTACTCGATTCAGAAAAATGTCACATTTCCTACATAAACTTGAAACTCTTAACATGTATAGACAAGAGAGTGGTTGAGTCAAAGGATACGCAACCATATAGTTATAAAATATAACTATAAATAGTGCGTCTCATTATGCAATGATGTCTCCAATGATAATATAAAGCAAGATAATGAAGTATCCGTTTGACAGAAGTCTAATGAGCAAATCAAAAACAAATGTTTATCAACAAGTGATTGGTTTAATTGGTTAAGGTCATTTTTTTCGACGAAGAAGTCTTGGGTTTGAGTTCTGTCAGTGACTATTTGTTAGGATCATCTCGAATACACGACTTGCAGTTATCTGTCTTAGACTGTCAGGTACGATATATCTTGTCATAACCGGAGTGACTGAGTAGCTTATCTACCCCCGATTTTCTTACAAAAAAAAAAAAAAAACAAATGTTTGGTCTAGTATACATCGTAGCATACATTAATGAACTAATTACATTAGCATAAGGTCATTTGCTTATTTTCTTCTTTTGTTTTAGGGCATTGATTAATACTAAGAATTTGACCATTTATCATTAGGGTGTATGAGTATAGCATTTTGTAATTGAAAATGTTTCAAGATTCTCTTAATATATGTCTATTGAGACATACTTAAAGTTTCTTGGAGTGATTTGTTTGGAATTTTACTCTTAAAATATTGTCATAACGTATAAATCTGAAAATTTATAGTTAAACATAATGTAAGAAGTCATCACAAATATTTTTTTAAGGTGTGATTGGCCACTTAATGAATCTATTCTCTTAAGGATATCCTAAGCTTGACTAAGAATCCTTAAAAGAATAGGCACTGCTCTACATTTTAGAACTAAGTTCGGGAGTTTGGTTACGTGTGAAAAAAATTATGACACCCCCATAATGTCTATTCTAAAATGTTACCATTTAATTTTAAATTATCCTAATAATCATTTGGATCTACCAGTCTATATTTTAATATTTAAATATTAAAAATAATTTTTAAGACTTTTCTATCGATCTGATAGAATCTTTAAAAATACTTCATCACCTTAAGAGTGTTCAAAATTTTCATTGATTTTTTTGAAAAGACTCCGTCGTTGAAAATTGACTTAATCATTTATTTTTTGTTAAAATTTTGTTTTATTGAAAATATATCTAATTTTTAAACTATTTGAGCCAACATTAGAAATATTTTCTCATTTAGATATTTCTTAGATAATCATCCATTTGAGATTACTAAGAATTCATCCTCGAAATTTATTTATTTTTACAAGTTTTAGTTTTAAATTTTTTTTTTATTATTTGGGCCTAATTTAGAAATATCTTTTCTAAAATTTAGTTTTCATTTATTCATTATTTATCCTTTAAAAAGAAAAATAATATGACAATTTTTTTTGAAGTCTTATTTAAATCTTTCTTCCATTTTGATTAAATTTAGAAAAAAAAAAATTTTTACCTAGAAATCTTTTGAAGACTTAACCATTTGTGATTTTTCTTAAGATTTCATCTTTGGATAATCATCATATATTTTCCAACCAAAAAATTTTTAAAGTCATTTTTTAATTTTTAATTTAACAAGAAATACAATTACTTTTATTAAAATTTTATTTT